TTTTTAATTGTCATATAGAAAGCCGGGGTATATGCATATATAAAATGCCACATCCGTAATCAATCAATGCAATTGTAGTGATTGATTACACCCACCTGTCTCCCCCCCCCCCCTCCTCTCCGGGTACAAATCCAAGATGCAGAAGTTGTCTTTCTATTGATTTCATTACATATTATTGTGCTATTACCTTTGGATTATATGCCAAAAAGTAGCTAGAAATCCGAGATTTAAGGCTGGAAATTTATTGAGAATCCGAATACAAGTATATATCTTAATCTTAGGCGGTTAGCATTGTTGTTCTTCTAACCCATTAGCTGCTACTAAATGTAGAGACATAGTAATTTACAGAGAGAGAGAGAGAGAGAGAGAGAGAGAGAGAGAGAAAGAGAAAGAGAGAGAGGGCCGGTTGAAACTGGGGGCGAGAACACCTAGGTGGAAGTGGGCGGCTGAGTGGTGAGTGGTGGACATCCGTCAGTTTGGAGGCTTTCTTTGATACGTGATACCGAATAATCGTTTTCGTTCTCCCTCTCCCTCCCTCTCTCTCTCTCTCTCTCTCAAAAACAGAGGAACACTTACTGTAGTGTAGCCCCTAGGCTAAAGACTACTCTGATTGAGAGTCCTTTATTAGTTTTTTGATAGGGGTAAAAATATCACAGCCTGTGTTGTGTCTGTAATATGGTTCGTGCTCTGCTTTAATTTCTGTGCAATTTTTAAATCGCCATTAATGATTTTTGGAAGTTGAATGTTTTATACTTTTTTATGGAGAATATATTTCTCAAGCAAATTATTAATGCATTCAACATCATTTGAAAAATAAAAAAAATCCTTTTCCAAGTATAATTGAGTTTTAATATTTGTATGGATTTGCATGATGAGCTTCTCCAAACATAGGTTAATTATAAATCTGCTTAATTGATCCTCCAGATTTCCAGAATTTTTATGTTTTTAGGTGAAATAAGGAAATGGGTTGACATAAATTAAAATATTGGGTGGCTATTTTTGCATATGCTCTGATTTTTTTATCTGAAATTTTCAGAGTGGGTATTCCAATTTTGATCCAAATCAGCTTTTCTCAACTGGGTTTGTGTCCTATCTATGCATATATTAATTGATTTTTGTTTTTGTGTCTCTAATTTGCAGAAAAGTGGTGACATTTGAGCAGAAAACAGAATTTGCAGAGAACACACACAGCCTCTGTATGTAGGCCACTTTGTTTCTTGTGCAGCGCCGCTCGTATTTGTCGCTCGTGCATTGCCAATCTTCTTCAAAACTCACAGATCTCGAGGTTCATACCAATGCCATCAACCACCAATTACAGTTATTTAAGCCTTTGCTAGTTGAAAATTGAAGTTAAGCTGATAAAATATTTGTTCACATTTCACTCTCTCTCTAGTCTTTGTCTTTTCTTCCTCCGCCATTCTCTTTCTATATTCGGCCCACCCCTCAAACATTACTGGCTCAATACAAAGGACCTTGAAGAATTCTGGGTCTATTTTATAATTCTTGAAATATTTACAGATTGGGCATTGACCTTTGGAAGTAATGCAGAAGCCACAATAATAGGAGGGTCGGTGATTCTTTTGGATTTTGTTTTTGGCTTGCAAGGAATTCGAGGTACATTACAAAGTCTTTGAACCTTGAAGCTTTGGTCTCTGTTTCCCTTACATTTGATTATTATACAACTTCCTGGTGTATTGGGATCTCAATTTCAAGCTATAAAATATACGAACAACGGTTAGGATTGCTGTTCTTTTGGGACACGTAGTTGGTTCCTCGTACCAAGCCATGGTTTCATGTATCTATCCCTCAGTGGAATTGCATATTGTGGATGGAATTTAACTGTTTTCTATGGGTAGATGATTGAAACACGGTCCGTGAATTCGGGTATTTTGTAGATGTATGAGGGGTGAGAGGTTGATATATAGAGGAGTGGGTTTTGATGTGGAATTTTGGTTTTGAAACCACTACTAGAAATGCTGAGCTTTGGTGAGGGAGAAGAGTTCTTTTTTGATACTGTGGATTGCTTGTCATCAGAAGAATCTGTTGTTGGTAAAGAAGATTTGGTGTATGATAATTTAGGGTATGAGATTTGGATTAATGAACCAAAGAGTGTTAAGGAACGGCGGGAAAGTTTTTTACGCGGATTGGGTTTTGTTGAATTAGCCTCCTCTGCATATGGCCTGCCACTTGGTGAAGAATCAATGGTGATGCCATTGGACAGGATTAGAGAATGTAGTGGAGCTATTTCGAGTTCTTTTTCGACATCTATAGCTAGTGTAAAGGAAAATCTGGGGGGCGCAGGGAGGGAAATGCACGGTGAAGCCAATTGTATGCTTGATGAATCAGATCAAGATCAGTCCGACGATTTTGCCATAGCCCTTGACGAGACTGCCGGGACTTCTGGGCATACGCAAACTCAGGCTCATATTCAAGAATTTAATAAGCCTGGTTTGGATAAGAAGAAAATGCGGAGTTGGTGGAAACACATCATTAACAAAATGAAGATAAATCAAGGTAAGCTTGCGTTTGAGTTATCAAAACCAAAAGCGGAAAAATCAAAGATAGATAGAATGAAGGTGCGGCAGAACAAGAAGAGGTGTATGGAATTTTCTGCAGTGTATGCTGGACAAGAACTTTGTGCTCACAATGGCTTAATTTGGACAATGAAGTTTAGTCCTGATGGCCAGTATCTTGCAAGTGGGGGTGAAGATGGGGTTGTTCGAATTTGGCGTGTTACATTGGCAGACACCTCCTGCAAAAGTATATTTGCAGAATGCAATTTTACTGATCCGGGGAACGGAGGCAAGTCTGTTTCTGGTAGAAAAAAGTCGAGCCATGCTTCTGTTATAATTCCTGATAAGGTTTTCCAGATTGAAGAGCTGCCGGTGCAAGAGCTTCATGGTCATACAAGTGATGTCTTGGACCTGGCTTGGTCCAAATCTAATGTGAGTCGCTGCAGCATCTAGTTAACCATGCCTAATTCTAGTTCTTTACATTTTTCTTATTGAAAGAATATATTTAAGATTTTATTTTCTTTCAACCGTGGCTTATATGAAGCTAACTGGCTTTGATTGCAGTGTCTTCTTTCATCGTCCAAGGATAGAACTGTTCGCCTATGGCAAGTGGGTTCTGATGACTGTCTTAATGTTTTCCAACACAATAACTACGGTAAATGTCTTAAAATTGGATTTTGGTGTTTTGATGTTTTGATTTACACTAGAATCTCCAAAAGTCTGATGCACTAATTTTCTTTTCTTAAATGGAATCAGTGACATGCATTCAGTTCAATCCTGCTGATGAAAGTTATTTCATCAGTGGTTCCATAGATGGAAAAGTTCGAATTTGGGGAGTTTCGGAGGGGCAAGTTTTGGATTGGGCTAATGCACGAGATGTCGTTACTGCCATATGCTACCAGCCAAATGGAAAAGTATGATTCAGAATGCTTTATCAATCCATGACTTTACTGTGTCATTGCAATTAGTCTTACATTCTTCTGAAGTTCATGACTTCCTGATGATATTTTAAAGTGTGTTTTCTCTCTTTTGATGGAAACAGGGGTTCATTGTTGGTTCTATCACAGGCACCTGCCGCTTCTTTGAAGTATCAGGTACATAGTTTCCTTATTTTGGAGAGTCCTGTTAGTGTATCTTGAATATCAGATTTTGTTTTCCTGGGAAGTTTCTAAATTGGTTCATTCATTGTATAGGCGGCGATCTTCAACTTAATGCAGAAATACATATTCATGGAAGAAAGAAATCCTCCGGCAACAAAATTACTGGCATTCAGGTTTTATTCTTGGAAGTCTTACTGATTTAAATTTCTACATGCTCATTTCAATGTGGATAGTTCGTTAACATGGGAACCCATTCTTGCAGTTTACACAGGAAGAATCTCCAAGAATAATGATAACCTCAGATGATTCCAAAGTTCGGATACTCGATGGGATTGATGTTGTCCATAAATACAGAGGTATAAGAATGCTTTGGTTTTAGTTCTTCAAAAAGTTCTTCATAGGATTTGATATTTTCATTTTAGTCATCTACACTTTTGGACATGTATGTATTGTCAAGCTGATATACCTTCTAGGCTCATCATTATGTTGTAATTCTTCCTAAAGTCGTTTCATGTATCCCTGCCCAGGATCGATATCTGTTGTTTATTTGGAAGAGTCTATTCTTTTATGTCATCCATTGTTACATTGGTCACAAATAATATACTGCCTTTAATTACATTCGATGCTACTGTCAAGGTATTAGTGCAATCTTCTATTTGCCTTGGGAGTAGCTGAGAAATATGTCAGTATTTCTGAAGTACTATTTCTCCAACATCTACTTGCTTCCTAGTGCCACTTCTTTCTTGTTGAGCAGTTCCTGCTTGGTATCCTTCTCTATAGCATGTTTGTACTGGGAAGGGTTCTTGGTAATTTTTTGCACTTCTGATGCTACACACTGTTGTTTGTCTCGAATCCGATTTTCTATTTCATTTTATCCTGGTATTTGAAAAGTGTAAGATAATTTTTCTCTTTTCCTTTAATATCTTGATACTAGTGTAATAGTGTATAGAGTACCTAAACACATTTTATGCAAGAGGTTAGATATTTGGGATTTTAGACTTTTTTGAGAGCATAAATGGATAACTTTTACTCTAGCTGTACATTTAAAGACCGTAGTTAGTATTCCTTTGTTGTCAAAAGAGCTAGTGCGAGTAATAGATGCAACAATATTACCTCCGAAGTCGGTTGCCAGAGTATCTTGACTGATTATATACTTCTGCAGATCGACTGGAATTGTTGCACCTACCATTTAAATGCATACCCCATTTACCAATTTACAACATCACCTATGCATTGTACTTGAACCACTTGAATAAGTCGCAAAAAGTTCTTGGCATGTGCAGATATAATTACAGATTGAAAGAGTGAGTATTTACCTTGGTCCATAAAATTCTAATTCTGAATAGTATAATCTATAATTTGGTCATTTTGATAGCATGCAATGAATACAGACAATGTATGTTAAACTAAGATGGATCTAAAGTTTCAAGGAAAGTTACATTCCTCTATAGACATCCCATACAGCTGTATCCATAGGTTGAGTTTTGACATTTTGTTACCTTTATGCATGTGGGATAAATCCTTGCACTGCACTTGATTATTTTATTGGTATGACCCTGTCTTTCCAACTAAATATGTTATAATTTGATTATTACAGGTCTTCCAAAGTCAGGAAGTCAGATGTCGGCTTCATTCACTTCAACAGGGAGACACATAGTATCCATTGGGGAGGACTCTCGCATTTATGTCTGGAACTATGATAACCCGAGCATCCCATCATCCAAACAACCAAAATCTGTACGTTCCTGTGAGCATTTCTTCTTCGAAGGTGTGTCTGTTGCAATACCTTGGTCAGGTATTGGAACAGAACAGAAGGGTTCAAGTTTAATAACACAGGACCCCCAGGGGAGTTCATGTGTTAGAGATTCGGAACGTTTTTCTCTGGCAAGTTGGTTCTCCATGGATGGGTCATGTAAGGGCTCTGTGACATGGCCCGAGGAGAGACTTCCTTTATGGGACATACCAGTTTCAGAACATGAACATGATGATCCGCTTCATAGCAATCATGATCATTGTTGTCAAGTTCAGCATCAACGTTCCAATGCCAGCCACAGCTATGGTGTCTCGTTGGCAACATGGGGGCTTGTGATTGTGACAGCAGGTCGGGATGGAATGATTAGGACATTCCACAATTACGGGTTGCCTGTCAGGATTTAGATGCTTTTGTTTGTCTGAGGTTTCATGATAAATTTCAATCCTGATCGTATAGTTTAGGCAGATTCAGAAGCTAGCGGAGTGGATGTTGTGTTCATGTGAAGTTTGCACATTACTTATATCTTCCAGTTCTTTAAGCATACTTCAGAAGATCAAATTCTTGGCAATGCATTTTGATGGTCGTTTTTGTTGGGGTTGTTATGATGGGTTTTGATGTATAAGCTAGGTCAGGAAAGCATGCATAAATGTAGAAATGAAAAATATTAGATGAAACTGTAAAAAATTTCCCCGGACACCGTTAAAAGGTAATTTGACAAGGAAGGACTCTTCATCATTTGTCATGATTAATGTTAAACAAATAAAAATAAATCACCAAAAAAAAAAAAAAAATCAAACATTACCCAAAAATTTGGGCAAGTATGTTTGTGGTGTAGGGGAGGTGAGTGGAGGTGCTATGGGAAGGGGAGGAGACTGTGAAGAGGGACTGGACTAGAGGGAGGGGAGAGAAAGAGAGAGAGAAACAGCACAGAGGTGACAAAAAATTTAAATGGGGTCCTATTAATATTAGATCAAACACATGTCTCAGACAAAAAGTATGAGAAATTGCAAACCACTAAATTTAAAATTCTAGATTAATAAAGTAAAAAACTGATAGCGGGGTAAGCCCTTAAAAATTAGACTCTCGATTAAATTCTGGGTTGGAAGTGTAAGGGGGCTTTGGTGCTTTGTGTTCACACTTCATAGTGGGAGAGAGAGAGAGAGATGGTGCGACAGAGACTAAAAGGTAATATGTTGGTTGTAGAGAGAGAGAGACTTTGAGTGACAATAAAGGGTTCGTGTTGAGTGTTGCTAGGCATGGCACAACTTTCTAGGTGTAGATCAAACAAGCTTTAGGTTTCTATATAGTAGATCGACGATTTTAAAAGATCAAACACTTGGGCCTATCAATTCAACTTTGAGTTGTGTTTGATAGATGTTTTGGGCCTTTTGATTTAGCCCATTCAAAACACATACATCCTTAACTTTTTAATTTGGGGCCCCAAATTTTATAGAAAATGTGGGGTCTTAGGCGGTAGAGGTGCAACTTTGGCGGACCAACCTGAATTCAATCCGAACCAAACTCAAAAAAAACAGGGCTTGTGTTAGAATTTTAATATTTGGGTTGGGTTTAGGCAAAAAAAACCTCAACCTGAATTGAATTTGGGCAAGTCTCGAGTTGTCGAGTTCAACCCAAATGTACATAAATATATAAATATATTTAACTAAAGTTAGTATTTATCTTCACTCTTTAGAGTCCAGACTTTCACTTTACTTCAAGTCTTCAGCCCTACGCCTGCATCACTTTCAAAAGTTAGATCCCTCTCTCACTTGTCACTCCTCTCTCCTCAATCGTCACTCATCTGAGTTGTCTTAGACTCTCAACCTTCCTCTCTCACTCATCACTCTTCCCTCTTTCTTCATATCAGATCATTTGAAAAAATTAGATCTACACTTGAAAAAAATCAAATTTACACTTCAAAAAATAACCCGAATTAGTGACTTCTTCCCATTTCACCAGGGTTCCAAACATGGCCCTGACATCCGATGAGGCTTCCTTTGATTTGAATGAATGAGGAACGAAGACGCATGCAAGAGAAAAGAAAGCCCCTATTTGAGCATGAGCCCTAGTACATTGACCTCTCATAGACTTAAAACTCCAGTTTTTGGCTATTCTATTGTTAACCCGAAATCAGCCCGAATTAAGTAAATCAAATTCAACTGGAGCCTGCCAGAATTAAACTCGAGCAGTATTTGGGTTGAAGTAGGGTTAGGGTTAGGATTAGGGTTAGGGTTAGGATTATATACTTAGGGTTGACTTCTCAACCTGCCCGAGTTGCACCCTTACTAGGAGGCCATCTAAATGGCCTAAGCCTAGGGGGCATCCCTGCCATGAGATAGAGAGAGAGATATAGATAGCTAGATAAAGAGATAGAGAGAGAGAGAATGTTTGTGTTGGGTCTTTATCTTGGATGTGGGGATGTTATGGGCCATGGTTTTGGTATGTGTAGTTGAGTTTAACACCCCTACCACTACCATTACACCCTTGCTACACCACCCATCATCGCCACCACCCACCACCCTCCATTATCGCCACCAGTAGCACAAAAAATATTTTGCTTCCACCACCACTATCATTCTACCACCACCAACCTTCGCCCTCACCACCTACTACATAACCATTACTACTACCACCACCATCGCTACTACACTATATCAACCACCACCACCCACGTTCGCCTCCCCTCCATCGCCATTCCACCATAATGATCACCACCACCCTACCACTTCACCACCCGCACCACCATCATCAACCAACCAACCCACCCACCTTCATTGTTTTCCAGTTTTTTAAGCATACTTCAGTAGGTCAAATTCTTGGCAATGTTTTTTGATGGTCTTTTTGGTTCGGGTTCTTGTAATGGGATTTGATTAAAGCTTAGTTAGAAAAGCATGCCTTGCAAATTTGATGTATATATGCACAAAAGTAAAAATGAAAAAATAGTAGATGAAACAGTAAAAAAATTTCCACGAACATCGATAAGAGGTAAATTTTATAAGGACCTCTCAACATGTGTCAAGATTATAGGGACACAAACTTAAAATAGTTAAACTCTCTGACAAATAGATGTTAATATGATTGACATTAATTAATTACTAAAAGCATTTTTGGGTGGTTTTATTTTCGAAAAACTCATTATGACTTTTGGGAGAAATTAAAAAGTATGAAGTAAAAATGACACGAAAAACGATTAATTCAAAGTTAATAACTTTTGGTTAAAAACACAAATCCAAATGGTTACATCATTTCATAATCCACAATTAACACCTTTTGATTAAAAGACACCATTACAAATTGTTATCATATTTTCATAAAATCTCATCTGAAATCTCTTGGAGTAAAAGACACAATTTCAAATGGTTGTGTTCTTTTCATAAAGTCACCATTGATACATTTTGAACCAAAAAACACAATTTCAAATAGTTGCACCCTTTATGAAAAGTCACTATTGAGCCTATAAATAGGTGATGCCTTACAGTCCAAAAATATACAATTGAATAATTGTATACTTCCTACTAGAATTGCTCTCTCATTCTTCTTTCACTATATTCTCCCAAATTCACATACATTTATTATTTCTATTTAATCTGGTATCCTATTTTCTGTAGAATTAGAACGCTAGAGGTTGACTATTTGATTTCCTTAAGGTATTTGACTACTGTATTCAAACGTGCAATATGTAGGCAGGTTTGAAAAACTTTATTGTATCTTGAAAATAGATTTGCAAAATTCTCAATTCACCCATTTCTAAATAATTGGTAGGGACAAATACTGTTTTTAGTAAACTATTCTCGTACATGACTTGAAGCAATTTTCAGTGTTGCAGTGTAGTCCCTACAAAAGTTTTCAACGGAGTAATTACCCCAGATTTTTTATCCAACAATCTAAAAATAATATTTATTCATGAATTTTCTTCTTCAGCAAAATCACTCTATCATATGACGGAAAGTATCGTCAAGTTGGATCGATTTGATGGTGGGAATTTCCTTCGTTAGTAAATGAAATTGTAATTCTTATTTACTACATTGAAGATTACCCAAGTGTTGACCACGCCAAAAACCATATAACAAGAAAATGAAACAATGACAAATGTACAAAATCGGATAAAGTGGGAGCAAGATGACTATCTATGCAAAGGGCACATTTTGAATGCGACGTCTGACTCCCTATTTGATCTTTATCAAAGAGTAGAAATTTCCCAATGAGTTATGGGACAAGTTGGAAGCCAAATATCCAATAGAAGATGTGACAAGGAAGAAACTTCTAGTTGATCAATTTCTCAACTTCAAAATGGTGGATGACAAGTTAGTACTCAATCAATTTTATGAAATTCAACGTACTATTAATCAGTTTCAACAAAATAGCATGATTATGGATAAATCTATTATTGCTTCTACAATCATTGAAAAACTCCCTCAATTATGGAAAGGCTTTAGAAAAATTCTTAAGCATAAGAAAGAATATATATCTCTCTCGAGAGAAGTGAGAATCAAGAAAAACATGTGTCCAAGGTTCATGGGGTGGAGGATGGAAAGGAGACTAAATAACTTTGTTAACATGGACAGAACAATCAAAAGAGAAATAAAAATGATAAGGACTAGAACAATAATAAAAAGCAAAAAGGTAATTGCTTTTATTGTCACAAAGTATGACACTTGAAAAAGGATTGGTGTTTCTTTAAAAGAAGCAAGGAGCATATTCTCGAAGATGATGGTTTTTGGTGGGTTGATTTGGGTGAAACAAGACATATTTGTGAAGACAAAAATCTATTTACAACTTATGAATTAGTTGAAGATGACATTACTCTCTACATGGAAAATTTTGATATCGCATTGGTAAAGGAAAAAGGAAAGATAGACATTGAATTCACATTTGGGAACATCATTACCCTAAACAATGTCTACCATGTGCCAGAAGTTAGAAAAATCTTGTCTTTGGAAGTCTCCTCGACAAACATGGTTTAAACTTTGTAATTGAGCCAGGTAAATTTGTATTTTCCAAAGGTGGAGCCTTTGTAGGCAAAGGTTATTTGTATGATCAAACTTATATCAATAAAATGTCTATTTCTTCTTACTTAGTTGATTGTCTTTATTTATATTTTGGTAGATTAGGGTATATTGATACTAGAAAAATTGATGATATGGTTAAACTGAATTCAATTCCTACGTATGAAAATGACATGGTTTACAAGTGTAAAATTTGCATGCAAACTAAAATAACTAGAAAACCATTTTATAAGGTTTAAAGAATTACATCTTTGTTAGATCTAGTACATAGTGATGTTTGTGATTTGAATGGCACATCTACTAGAGGTGGCAAGAAATATTTTGTGACATTCATAGATGACTACACAAAATTTTTCCATGTGTATCTTTTGGACTCTAAAGATGATGTAGGAATAGTAACACCAAGATTATAAGAATGAACTAGGAAATCTATGTAACACCAAGATTAAGTGTCTAAGGTCTAATAGAAATGGTGAATGCCATTTTCCTCAGTTTTTGTGAAGATGTAATAATAGTACATGTAGTCACAA